CGCCCGTCGTCTCTAAGAGAGCTGTGACCCGTATTTTATTTCTATTTTAAGGCAGTCGGGTTGCCCCGTGCGGCGTGGGGGTGGATGAGGGGTCGCAGGAGGAAGAGCCCTGGGAGGACGGGGGGGGGAGGGAATAGGGGAGCCGGGCCCAACCCGGCTCCTTCGGGTGCTTCCCAGCGGCGGGGTGGCGGCCCGAGGGTTTTATTTCGGTCGAGCAGGGTGGATTTCTGCTTCTGCACTGCTGCTGCCCGGCTGTTCCACCCCTGCTGCCCTCGCTGGTCCGGGCGCAGGCTATAGCCTGACCTGGGTCTGTGCGGCAGCAGGTGCCGGGCCCAGTCCCTGGGCAGCACCCCCTGACACCCACCCATCCACCCAGAACCTGCAGTGCTGGTCCAGGAGCATCTTCCCTGCGGCTTTGTGTGGAGTTTGCCTTCATCTGTGGCTGGTGTCGGCGGGTCAGGTCGGGCTGCCTGTTGTCCTGGCAAACTCCACGTGAAGCTGCTGCTGTTTTGTTGCAGCCTTAGTTCTCTCTAGCCAGCCACAAGGTTTATTAGATAAACCTGCACGAACAGCAGGAAAGGGGGTTGAGCAGTTTCTGGACCTCAGCTTTTTGGAAAAATACCATAGTGTGTTTGTGCAGTGCTTCAGATAATAATTCTGCTGCATTCCAGCAGGTACTGCCCTCATTAAGTGGTTCCATTCACACTTGGATAATCTAATTATGAATAATAGGTATTACGTATTAAGAAAAATCAAAAAACACTCCTCACACTCCAGAGTTCATTGCATCCGAGAAGTTTAGGGTGTATGAAATGAGGAGCTTATTATTGTTATATCTTTTGTCAGCAGGAGAGTTAGTATTTTGAATTTTCTTAGAAGGAATTCTCTTGTAATCACTGGAACTTGGATTCTAAGACTGGTGATTTGAAATTTTGACAGAAATACCAGAAACATGGAATTACACTCTAGAGTTTAAAAAAAACCCAACACCAAAAAACCAAAACCAACAACACCAAAGAGAAACCCAAACACTTGTGGATTTCCTACATCAAACTTTGATTTTTTTTTTTTTTCTATGCTACTTAGTTCTTTAACTTATTGCATGCCTTTTGGTAGGTTGTAGTGCTGCAGGCATTTTAACTGGTAGTACAATCAAAACCAGCCGTTTCCTTCCTGATTAGTTGTGTATATGTGTGGCTGTGAAAAGACATTGAAGGATCAGCTGTTTTTCCTTTTTTTGTTTGTTTTTTTTAAAAAAAAAAGATTACTACAGTCAGATAAAAGCAGGGTATGTGTGTACACTTTTGTGTAACTTCTGCCTTGCTTTTTTGTGACCATGCTGTGAGCAGGATAAATACACTTGAAAATGACTGCAAAAAGATGAGGTAAATATGAGTCCACAAGAAAGCATATGCATCTGGTTTTGTTGCAACAGTCTAAATATAAAGTCACATTCAATTATGTTGTTAGTATTAAACTCTATGTACAAAATTAAATGATTTAATAGGTAAGTATACTTCTTGGCAGGTCTAATGTTTTCCATCTTCTCTTTTAAAGAAACTGAAGAAGTTTTTAAAGTGAAGAAATCAAGTTACAGCAAAAAGATTGTAAAACAATTGAAGAAAGAGTACAAAGAAGATCTTGAAAAATCAAAAGTTAGAACAGAGGTCAATTCTCCAACAGATGGTAACTGCAAAACTAACAGTAACTTTTGTAATGGGAAAGATAATGTATTGTAAATACAAACTAGTTGTTTTCAAGATTAATTGTTAGTCTTTTTACAGGATTTAGCATTTAGAACTGAAGTATCCATTAAATGTGTTCATTTGAACCTTACAGATGCCATTCTGAAGCTAGTAGAGAGTTCTTTGATTCTCTGTCATGTGGAAGTGTATGTATAAGGATGAAGCTTCTCAGATACATATACTGTTTTCAGTACACCTCAGTGCTTTCTGTATTTTCAGCTGTTTATGTCAGATGAGTTTCTTCCTATTGAATTAGGAAGGAATTAAATTAGTTTAGAACTGTGTCTGGTGCTTATCTGGCGGGATGTGTCCTTGTAATGCTTCTTCTCGAAAAGGAAGATTTTTGGGGTGAGCAGAGTGGTGTTCTTTATTAAGTAAATTATTCAATAACTGCCTATTTCAGGACTTGGACCTTAGAGCAGACTTGATGATTAAGATGACAGGATGAAAGTTCTGGCAGAAGGATCTTCTAACAATGTATAGTACTCCAGAGCTTGGAATAGAGCCTAAGATTTCAATTTCATTGTACTTCTGTTGTTGGTTTTTGGGAAACTCATTGCTTCATTCAAAGCGTGATGATTCCTTTCCCAGTTAGGTTTTTGTGTAATAACCTACAATGCAATGGTATAACTGAAGCATATGAGAGTTGAACATGGTCCCATGCAGAAAATTACCCTTCTTTAAGTTAATTAAATTAGTCTTTTAAAAATCTTAAAGATTTTAAAAAGTCTTTGCCTGCATTTAAAAAAACCCACAAATCCTGTCTTACTAGAATCTTTACGTTGCATATGCAGTGGTA